AAACTTCGGGACGCTCGTCACACTACATACATATATATATATATATATATATATACATACATACATACATACATATGTGTGTGTGTTTGTGCGTATGTATGTATATACATATACTGTATATATATATATACATACACACATGCATACATATATGCATGTATGTATGGTGTTCCAGTTTAATGTATTGAAATGGGATCCAGGACAGTCTAAAAAAAATTAAAAGTTCAGTACTCTATATGAAAAAACATCAGATTAATGATCTGAAAAATATACAGTTGGTGTGATATCTTTATCTTAAATGGTGTTCAAGTTTCATGGATATAAACGGGTTCAGTACTGTCAAAAAAATTATAATCTGAAAAACGAATCTTGTGCATTATAGTGAATCATATTTAGAGATTTTTTCAGTTGGTTTGATACATTTATCTCAAACTGTGTCAGAGTTTAATTAATTTAAGTGGATACAGTATATAAAACATATGAAAAATATGGTTTCAGTGCTATATATAAAAACAATAAAAATATGGATTCAGTACTGTATATAAAAACAATAAAGGCATAATCTGGAAAAACAAGCCTTGTGCATTATAGGGAGTAATATTCTGAATATTTTACAGTTGGTTTGATACCTTTTTCTCAAACGGTGTCAGAGTTTAATTAATTTAAGTGGGTACAGTATATAAAACATATGAAAAAAATATGGTTTCAATGCTATATATAAAAACAGTAAAGGCATAATCTGACAAACCAAGCCTTGTGCATTATAGGGAATAATATTCTGAATATTTTACAGTTGTTTTGATACCTTTATCTCAAACGGTGTCAGAGTTTAATTAATTTAAGTGGGTACAGTATATAACACATATGAAAAACATATGTAAACAAAATAATTCAACAAATTGAATAATATTCTGAATATTTTACAGTTGGTTTGATACCTTTAGATCAAATGGTGTTGTCGTTTAATGGATTTATATTATTGCATACATTAAAAGTTGTAAAATTATTATAAAAAACATAAAATTGTAATTCCAAAAACGGAGCTTTGTGCGATAACAGGTTTTCTTTCCCGAACATTTTAGTATTGGTTTTATATTATAATGTCACGTAGTTAAATTGTTTAATTAATTTAAATGTTTTTTTTGTTTTTTGTTTTATTCCTAGAAATTAAGCCTTGTGCAACATAAAGGGCATATATTTATGTCTATCTGAGTTAGTTTGGGCTCAAAACATAATAGCTGCAAAGAGTTTAATTGGCAAAAAACCCGAAGGTCTAATGAATGTCAAACGTCAAACTAACTTTACAGCCGTGCCTGATTCGGTCGCATCAGTGAACGAGCACTGATTTGCCTCTGATTTCGGGCATTTGTCGGCGAGTGTAAAATCGGGCTAAAATCGTGCAGTGTGAACTCGGCATTAAGTTACGATGCTTTTGGGAAACAGACCGTAATATTAAGATCAGTCGTACGATCGTTTTTACGAACTTTAGGCTTACGAAGCTTTTGGGAAACGCAGCCCTGATCAGTTTCATCTGTAAATAGACTGGTGCTGTAGTTTTGTCTATGCAACTCAGTTAAGTATTAAACTGCTAGCAAATGTTTGCTTTATAATTATCGTCGGTCAGAATACTGTATGTTAAATACATCATTATCTACTGTAAGGTTGCATTAATAAGTCTTTTAAACTCCTTTCAGTCATTAGAATAATTCAGTTCAATCTGTTTTATGTAACTCAGAGAGTGTGAGTTTGTTCAGTGGGAATCAAACCTGTGATTAGGAAGAGCTTCGTGATCTACGAGTTGAGATTCCCAGTTCAACCTACTGCAGTTAAACAGAAAACTACAGGCAGAACAGTGACAGAGCTTCACACAGTCTGGATAAATGAACAGAGATTGTGTTACTGTTTGAGAAGCACTAACATCTCTTGCAGGACGATGAAGAGACAGACGTCAGGAGACAGAGAAGATCATCAGCTGAAGACGGAGGAGGAAACAGAATATCAACATGTCAACCAACGATACCACAGGTGACAATCACTGAAAGCTTCAAATGAGTCTTCAAGAATACTTTAATTCTGTTTATAGAACTAACATTCTTAAAGCACTTTCATTTACATGCAGATACAGATTATGTGTAGACAGAAATACTAGATTATACATAACTTCTGAGGAAAATACATTTTCTTCACTGCTTATTTAGTGAAAATTAACAGAATTATTTTCATTATTTTAGTGATTTGACAGAATCTCACTTTCACTTTGAATAACATTGTTGTTTGTAAGGATCATTCAAAGATGCTGATTTCTGTCGGTTTGTGTTACTGTGATGAAAGAGTCAAATATAATATAAGACTTTTGTTTCATACAGTGATTGTTGCCCACAATCCTCCTCGCAGGAGAAGACAGAGCAATGACCTACCTCCTGACAGTAAGTCTGTACCTACATTAACACATGAAGTGATGAAGAGTGTGTGGAAACTATAATGATAAATGCAAACTTCTACCGGTGGATTCTGATCATTTCAATCTGTGATGTTGGATTTAATCAAGACCTTGACATCATTAGATGTAACTCTGAAAGTCTGATTTGACTGTTTGCAGTGAAGATAGTTCTTCTGGGTTCAAGCGTGTCAGAAAACAGTCTGGTGGGAAACTTCATCTTAGGACGAGCAGCGTTTGACAGTGAAGCTCCTCCAGATGTTGTAGAGAGAGTCGGAGGAAGACTGAAGGACAGACACCTGATGCTCATCAACAGTCCTCAGCTGCTCCAGACAAACATCTCAGCTCATCAGATCACACAGACTGTGAGAGAGTGTGTGTTTCTGTCTGATCCAGGACCTCATGTGATCGTGCTGCTCCTCAAACATGAGCCGTGTTCAGCAGAAGATCAGGAGCGTGTGGAGAAGGTGCTGCGCTCTTTCTCTGAGCGCGTTTATCAACACACCATGGTGCTCAGCACACAAGAAACCACAGAAACCAGTGACATCCTACAGACAATCATTCAGAAATGTGCAAACAGACACTTTAGTCTTCAGAGAAGCAGCTCTCCTGATGATCTTCTGCAGATGTTTGAGGACATCGTGAAAATGAATGACGGACGGCACCTGGAGTGTGCTGAAGGTTCACAGTATTTCACAATGGAGCAAGGAGCCACAGGAAGACGTGAGTGTGATGATATTTGAAGTTTCTAGTGATAAATTAACATGTTTTAATCTTCTTCTTCTGTCAGTTTCAGAGACTGTGAAGCTGAATCTGGTCGTGTGCGGGAGCGACGGGACGTTAAAATCCTCCGTATCAGAGCAGATCCTGCAGCAGACAGACGTGGAGCTTCATGGTTGTGTGATCAGTGTAATAGAGCTTCCAGCTCTGACTCGGCTCTCAGAGGAGGAAGTGATGCGTCAGACTCTCTGCTGTGTGTCTCTCTGTCATCCTGGAGTTCATGCTTTCCTCCTCATTATTCCTGACGCTCCACTAACTGATGAAGACAAAGCTGAAACGGAGAAGATCCAGAGGATCTTCAGCTCCAGAATCAACAAACACATCATGATCCTCATAAAGCAGAGCTCAGAGCATCAGACAGCAGAACTCAATGAAGAAACACAGTCTGTCATTGAGAGGTTCGGAGGACGACATCATTTCTTTGGTCCCAAAATACAAGTGTCCACATTGATGGAGAACATCGAGCAGATGCTGGAAGAAAACAGAGGAGAGTATTTCTCCACTGAGATGTTTCTGGAGGCGCAGATGAAGAAACTGATGAAATATGAAGAGATGAAGAAGAAAACTGACTCACTAGAAATCCATTTACCATCACAAGGTTAAAAAAAAAGTTTGATATTAAACTACACAGCATGTTTTAAAATAGATTTTTTTACTACAGGAGTGTTTGATTCTATATTAGATTTTTATACATTTGTTAAAAAGTTCAAAAATTCAAAATTCAATTAAAAAATTCCAAAGTCAAAAATTCTGATTGTTGAAAAATAAGCTCAAAGCTTCATTGTTCCACAGGAAATTAAGATTATTACAGTAGTCAAACTGATAAATAAAAAAAAATCCGATCTCTGTAATGTTTTCTGATCCATATTAATCATGCAGCTCATAGTGAAACATATTAGTTGTTCTGTATATTTTCTCTAAAAAACTTTGCAGATAATGTAAATTTGACAGAGATCAACTGCTTCATGAAAATTAGAAAAGCACACTAATGTCTCTGAACTGTGTACATTGTAGAGTGACATGTACATCTTCACAATGCATTTCCAGACCACACAAAACTACATGAATACTAAACAAGCAGACAGCAGACCTATGTTACACAATCACATTTTGGGGAAAACAAACTTAAGGCTGTAAAACTGATGCATTTCCTCTCTTACAGGTTCATCAGAGAGTGAAGATGATCTGAGGATTGTTCTGCTGGGAAAAACTGGAGTGGGGAAAAGTGCAGCTGGAAACACAATCTTAGGAAGAGAAGCGTTCACAGCAGAGACATCTCATGAGTCTGTGACTAAAGAGAGTCAGAGAGAATCATCTGAAATCAACGGGCGACGTGTTTCTGTGATCGACACTCCAGGACTGTTTGATACTGAACTTACTAACGAGGAGATCCAGAGAGAAATCAGACACTGCATCTCCATGATCCTGCCTGGACCACATGTGTTCATCATTGTGCTCAATTTAGGACAACGATTCACTCAAGAAGAGGCAACAGCTGTGAAGATCATCCAAGAGACGTTTGGTGAGAAATCTTTAATGTTCACCGTGGTGCTCTTCACCAGAGGAGACGATCTGAAGGACAAAACCATTGAACAGTTTCTGGGAAAACCAGGATCTCCTCTGATGAAGCTGATTGAAGCGTGTGGAAACAGATATCATGTGTTCAGTAATAATCAGACTGCAGACCGAACACAGGTGACTGATCTACTGCAGAAGATAGATGACATGGTGAAAGAAAACGGAGGGAGTTTCTACTCATGTAAGATGTTCAGAGAGATGGAGAGAGAAAAACAAGAACAACAAATGAAGATCCTGATGGACAGAGTGAGAGAAAGAGAGGAAGAGATGAAGAAACATGAGGAAGAGAAAGAGAGAGTGAAGATGATGATGGAGGAAGAACGACAGAATCAGGACAAAGAGAGGAAGAGAAGAGAAGAGGAACTGCAAAGAGAAATAAGAGAACAAGAGAAACATCAGAGAGAGACACGAGACGAGATGAGACGAGAACGAGAGACATTTAGACAAGAGACAGAGGAAATGAAGAAAGAAAAAGAGAAACTGCAGATCAAATATCAGACAGAAATAGACAAACTGATGAACACAATAGAGAATGAGAGAAAGAAAAGAGAAGAAGAATATATAGAAAGAGAAGAACGATATAAAACACTGATAAAAGACAAAGGGGAGAAAGAGAGAGAAATCTGTAAGATGAAGAGAGAACGAGAGGAACTGGAAAAACAGAATTTAGAGGAAAAGACAAGCAGAGAAGAAGAGGACAAGAAAAGAATAGAGAAAGACAAACAGATTCAGAGACTGCAGAGTGAAATGGAGGGAATAATCAGAGAGAAAGAAAGAATAGTAAGAGAGAGACGAGAACAACTGGAGGATTCAGAGAACAGACTGAAAGAAGAAAGAAAGACGAGAGAAGATCAACAGAAGACTCTTGAAGAGAAACTGAGACTCCTTGAAGAACAGCATGAAGAAGAACTGAAGAGAAGACGAGTGCAGTGGAGAGAGGAATATGAGAGAGAGAAAGAGAAGATGAAGAAGATCTGCTCTGAAACTGATCATTCACTACAGGTGAGTTTTTTTTATCTTTCATGTTTATTCTGTTAAACAGACAAATAAAATTATTTTTACTGAATGATGTTGGTTTCAACTCTAAAAGATCACAGCTTACAGAAAACTGGAGACTGAGTGCTCAAGACTATTGGTCTGCTATGTTTGTTCTGTTAGTCACACTTTTAGTAGTAATTATAACCCACCAAAACTCAGACAACTTACATTTCAAATGTTAACTCTTAAATGCATGAATGTTTCGCCAATCATTCTTACATCGTGAGAATGTAAAATCCCCTTCGTGAGAAGGGGAAGTCGTGGCCTAATGGTTAGAGAGTCGGACTCGAAATCCAAGGTAGGAGATTTATAACGATGCGTCAGACTCTCCGCTGTGTGTCTCTCTGTCATCCTGGAGTTCATGCTTTCCTCCTCATTATTCCTGACGCTCCACTAACTGATGAAGACAAAGCTGAAACGGAGAAGATCCAGAGGATCTTCAGCTCCAGAATCAACAAACACATCATGATCCTCATAAAGCAGAGCTCAGAGCATCAGACAGCAGAACTCAATGAAGAAACACAGTCTGTCATTGAGAGGTTCGGAGGACGACATCATTTCTTTGGTCCCAAAATACAAGTGTCCACATTGATGGAGAACATCGAGCAGATGCTGGAAGAAAACAGAGGAGAGTTTTGCTCCACAGAGACATTTCTGGAGGCAAAAACTTTTTTTTCAAAAAAGATGAAAAATCTGATGAAATATGAAGAGATGAAGAAGAAAATCAACTCACTAGAGACACATTTACTGTCTCAAGGTAATGAGCAGAAAATCAGTCTTAAACTACAGAGCATGAAAAAAAAGTTTTGACATTGAATTTTAAAATTCTAATTCTACAGTAGAGTTTGATTCTATATTACATTTGTATTTTAAACAGAAGAACTCCAAAATTCCATTTAAAAATTCAAACGTCCAATATTTTGATTGTACAAAAATCAGGTCAGAGGTCAAGCTTCAGTGTTCCACAGGAAATTAAGATTATTACAATAGTCAAACTGATCATTTTTGGCCAATCACTGAACTACTACAATCCTCTGGAGCAGTGAATCTGAACGTTTTGCTGTAATTTTAACAATCTGAATCATTTGAGTTTGAAAATAAAGATGTGAAATATGCTACAAAACAATTTCGTTTCAAAAATGTAAATTTCTCACATTTCCTGATCCACATTAAACATGCAGCTCACAGTGAATCACATTAGTTGTACTGCATATATTCTCTAGAATATTTGCACTAAAATGCTAACTTTAAACTGTGCGGATAATGTGAATTTGACAGACAGCAAATGCCTGATGAAAATTTAGAAAAGCACACAGATGTGTCTTTCACGAGTTCACACTTACATATAATGAACAGAGTAAAGGTTATGCGTATTTAGCGTGCTGTCCGGGGAGAGGGCTCCGAGCTCGGTAATTACTCTCGAGCCCGGGGTACTCCCCCTGTCAGGAGAGAGGGGTCCAAGCTCGGCTTTTAGCCCGGACCCAGAGCGCTCCCACCGAGTGTTCCTCCCCGTGCTGGGGTAGGAACGGGCTGAAGGTGAGCAGTTGGGGTGGTGGAGGGATGCTGAAAGACTAGAGATAATGAAGGTGAGGCTGCTTTGATTATTTCTAGAGGTTCTCTCTTGTGCTGATTGGATAGATGGTGTAATTACTGATGATGGACTGGCCGTGTTAATTATCTGTGCGTGCTCCTCCCGAAATTTGTTAATAAAACATCACTTCACGAGTTCACACTTACATATAATGAACAGAGTAAAGGTTATGTGTATTTGGCGTGCTGTCCGGGGAGAGGGCTCCGAGCTCGGTAATTACTCTCGAGCCCAGGGTACTCACCCTCTCCGTGGAGAGGGGTCCGAGCTCTGCTTTTAGCCCGGACCCAGAGCGCTCCCCCAGTTGGAAGTAAAGATATAGGCTTCTGCGAAAGCAAGCACTGCTGCGGCAGTGTAAAATACAGACAAAGGCTCCAGCGGGAGCGGGAACTGCTGCGGATGTGGGAAAAAGAAAAAACTCCTGCGTGAGCGGGCACTGCTGCGGCAGTTGGGGAAATATGGAGAAAGCTCCTGCGGGAGCGGGAACTGCTGCGGCAGTGGGGAAATATGGAAGAGCTCCTACGGGAGCGAGCACTGCTGCGGCATTGTGGGAATTAGGTAAGGCTCCTGTGGGAGCGGGAAGTGCTGCGGCTGTGGGGAAATATGGAAGAGCTCCTGCGAGAACTGCTGCGGCAGTGTAAAATACAGACAAAGGCTCCTATGGGAGCAGGAACTGCTGCGGCAGTGGGGAAATGCAGATAAAAGCACCTGCGGGAGCGGGGTGCTGCTGTGGCAGTGGGGAAATACGGTGAAGCTCCTGTGGTAGCGGGCACTGCTGGGCCAGTGGGGAAATAGGGAAAAGGCTCCTGTGGGAGCGGGCACTGCTGTGGCAGTGTGGGAATTTATGTATGGCTCCTGCGGGAGCGAGAACTGCTGCGGCAGTGGGGAAATAGGGAAAAGCTCCTGTGGGAGCGGGCACTGCTGCGGCAGTGTGGGAATTAGGTAAGGCTCCTGTGGGAGCGGGCGCTGCTGTGGCAGTGGGAAAAAGCTCTTGCGGGAGCGGGCACTGCTGCGGCAGTGGGGAAATATGGAAAAGCTCCCACCACGGCTTGGCACTGCTGCGGCAGTGTGGGAATTAGGTAAGGCTCCTGCGGGAGCGGGCGCTGCTGGGATGGCTGGAGTGGGGATGAGCCGTTATAGATGGATTAGGTGATGTAAAAGGGGGTTAATTATGGTGGGTCTGAAGTTTGAGTGACCGGGGCTGTACTGACGTTAAAGGGGTTGGCCGATGAGGGTTCGGTGGGCTTCCTTGATGTGGGAGGGGTCTGATCGAATGTAGCTCTTGAAAGCTTCTGACTACCAGCGACCGAGTGCTTGTATCTGCTGCTGGGAGAGGCCTTTTTGGGCCGCTGTGGTTGCTGCGCCAATTCGGAATGAATGGCTGGAAAAATTTCCAGCTGGGGTACCGGATAGGAGCAGAACGGACTTAAGGTGCTTTTGAAACCAGAAATGAGTGACGGGGTGGTTGGAGTCGTCTGTAAAAAGGGGGTCGGATGGGAGTTTGGACTGTGATTTCCTGAGCTGGATGAAGGCTAGGAGGGCTTGGTATGGTAGTATGGGTGATTGTAGGTTAAAAATAAAAATGAAATGGCCTTTCTTGGTCTGGTCTTTTTTTCTTTGCTTAATGAAGTAAGAGATGGTTTCGTCATCCAGCACTGCTAGATCGGAGTTAGTGGGGTGGATGTTTAGATTGAAGCTAGATGTGATAGCGAGCTCAGAGCATCTGAGAAAACCAGAGAAAGCCAGGATGAACATGGCGTCAAGCGTGCGGACGATCAGCTATTTGTTTTTTTGAACCAGGAATATGTTTTGCAGTTACAATGAATTGGTCACAAGTCGAGATCCAAATCAGGCGTCTTAACAAAGTCATTAGGGCGGGTGAATGGGAGCGGCCTTTATTGATGCAGTGCACGGTAGCCTCGTTGTCGCAGTGGATAATGATGCTGGTGGCGGACCACTCCTTACCCCACAGAAAGGCTACGACGACTAACTGAATGTCGACGGGAGAAGAAATTAAGTTATTATAAAAGAAAAATAGGCCGTTCCATTGCTTAAGAAAGGATATCCATGAGCTGAGCTCGTTGCAGCATGAGTCAGTTAGTGATATTCGATCCTCTAGAGCAGGGGTGGCGAACGTCAGTCCTGGAGAGCCGTAGCCCTGCAAAGTTTTGCTTCAACCCTAATCAAACACACCTGAACAAGCTAATCAAGGTCTGAACGGTCGTCCTATCAATTTTTTCCTTCGGCAGAGAAGCCTGGAACTTTTGAGAATCTAAGTTGATACCCAAAAATTCGATAGAGGTGCTCGGGCCCGCGGTTTTGTCTTGGGCGAGAGGAATCCCGAGCTCTGCAAAAACCTTTTGGGTTGTCAAAAGATGCGCGGCTGGGATGGAGTCGGGAGGCGAGATAATTAAGAAATCATCTAAAAGATGGATCAGGTAGGGTATTGCGTAATTGTTGTAGAGGATCCAGCAGATTGCCTCTGACAACATGTCGAAAATTTTCGAAAGTGAGGGGGACGGAAAAGTAAATTTTATTATGCCTGCGGATGCCGAATAAATGCCAA